AGGCTGATTGTATCTGTGGTATTCAATTCTCAGACGAAATTGGCTTTGGCTCAGATGTTTTCAGTGTTGGGTACCTTGTTGGCTATATGGATTCACACTTGTTTGTGTTGTTTTAGGCGGACACAAACACAAACACAAACAGACACACACACACACACACACACACACACACACATACTTGTACATCTAAATCAATCCTTGTGCACAAGGAATGCCCTTCGTTAACTTCCACTGATAGTGAACTAAAGTCGTCAAGCATAACTGATGAGAACCCACACTGCACAGCATGCATAGATAGGCGGACAGATAGGTAGATAAACTGATATTCATATCTATAGTTTATACATACAATATATATTCACAAATAAACATATACATCCACAAAGTATGTACAGCCACACACACGCGTACTTTGCAGTGGAGGGACAGGTTGGGCCCGGGGAAGCTACCGGCTGCGCGCCCAGGCTGCCGCCCTTGACTCACTGACCGCGTTCGGAGTCTTCGCGGCACGCAAGGCTCCGCGTGACGTAACGTGGTGGTCCAGTTCGCTGTGGAAAGTGTGGGCTTCTTTTATCTGGTTATTTTTTGTAAATTTGTTACTAATTGTTACACTAGCTTTTTTTCTTTCTTTTTTTTTCTTCTTTTTTAGTAGTTCTTTGGATCTTTCTCTGATGATATTTCGCGTTCTGTAAATGGCCTAACTTGCACGAATCTACACGAAAAGTCGACAGTATTTCAAATAACTTTCAATGGATCCAGGTGGTAGAATGTAATTCAAAAGTACTCAGAATACGGTTCATGTCTTGCATGGTTTAACTGTGTATGAAAAAGTAAATGTAAGTAATCTATGGGTGAGCCCAATGACGAGTTTTTCTTTGCGTAATTAAATATTCATACGATAAGCTTATTGCAAATACTACTAATCTCTCTCTCTCTCTCTCTCTCTCTCTCTCTCTCTCTCTCTTCATCTATCTACCTATATACCTTCCTTTCTCAGGAACACAAGCACAATTACAAACACTTCCTTTCTTCCACACGCACGTATGCGCCCCCCCCCCCCCCCTCTCGCACACTCCTAGTCGAACCTTATGTAGATTCGCGTGCTAATTCTATGTATTCACCACGAGTACTATAAACGCTAACACCTGTTACACATATACTAATACTTGTACACATTTTCTTGAATAGGGTCATCAAAATTAAAAGGAAATTTTGTGTCATTTATATCTTATAATTCTTATGAAGACGCGGTTAAAAAAGTGAGAATTAATTCCGAGGTAGTTCAATAGTATTCGTTTAGTTTGTGGGTATGACACTAATCTGCAGTGTTAGAAGGAAATGTCATTTCTCTTAATCTCCCTTGATCTCTTGCGTCGTGGGGGAAAATTTGCGAAATTAAATAAAGAATAGAATGTATAAAAGAAAAGAAGATAGATAGAAAAGTGAAAGGAATATAATGCATGTACTCAATGTTAAATATCGAGGTTATTATATCGAGGTTATTATAATCATTAATTCACTTTTTCCCTGTTAATGACTTTGATAACTCCGCTCATTAATTTTCTTTGTTTATGTTTACCTATCATTATTGCATTTTTTTTATACTCATCACTGCGTAGTCATTAATTTTTGCATGGATATTTATGATATCGTAAAGATGACAGTTATGTGATAATGGAGGAGCTAATATTGCATTCAAAGTTGCCACTATTGCTGTTATTTCATTTAGTTATCCTTATCATAAATGGCAGTTAGTTTTGTTGCAGCCATTCTTGTATTTATGATTGTTGTTATCAGATAAAATCGTTAGTTTTGTTCTATTTTTTTCTTCTTTTTAATGAACATTATTGTCATATTTATAACTGTGAATAAAATGATGGAGGAGAAAGATACGGAATTCAGTGGCATCACTATCATGATTGTTTATTGACACATATATTATCGACGTCAATTTTTATTATCAAGATCATTATATTATTACCGAGCTGATAGGAGAGAGGAGAGTGGAGTGCGGAGGGAATGGAAGGGAAGGGAGAGGGAGAAAAGGGGAGAAGGAGAAGAGGGGAAAGGGAGAAAAAGGGAGAGGGAGAAGAGGGGAAAGGGAGAAGAGAGGAGAGGGAGAAGAGGGAGAGGGAAAAGAGGGGAGAGGGAAAAGAGGGGAGAGGGAAAAGAGGGGAGAGGGAGACGAGGGGAGAGGGAGAAAAGGGGAGAGGGGAGAGGAAGAAGAGGGGAGAGGGAGAAGAGAGGAGAGGAATAAGAGGGTAGAGGGAGAAGAGAGGAGATGAAGAAGAGGGGAGAGGGAGAAGAGAGGAGTGGGGTTAGCGAGAAGGAACAGGAAGAAACAGTGAACAGTGAGTGAGGAGAAAAGGAAGGGACAAGAAAGAATGAGGGGAAGGAAGAGAGAGGAGACAGAAATCACAAGGTAAGGAAGAGGAAAAAGTGGGAGAATGGAAGGGGAAAATGACCCCCCAACCCCCCACACAATGCAGTCTTTGTCTAC